TTTTGTTAATCACTCGTATGATTACAGACCGAATTGGACTCCACTCAGTCCTATTACCATTATTAATTTCTAACTTGCATTTGAATTATTAACTCGAAGTCCCATTCGAACTCGAACTCGAATCTAAACTCGAGCATGCCTTTATACTACGGCCACCCTCGAGGAAATGGGAGGTGGCCGCTTAATAGGAATTAGTGAGGAATTAGCACGAAACTTCGTTAAATCGTCAATTTATTCAATTACAAACATGCCTGAAGGCTTGTAATTGCCGCTGCTTTAGCCTGCGTTGCAGGCGTAAACGGGAAAGTGGCAGGGAGGCAAAAATTAAAACTACCGTATCACCAGTGTTTTCCTGATTCACTTTTTTGCCATCGGGTCAATTGCTTAGTGAACATGGAATCTCGACACAACAATCAGAATAAACGTGTGTTTGAATGTTATTATCCGTTGTCACTATAAGCTGTCATTGCTTTATCAAAACGAAGCCAGACTAATTGTGTTAATTTTGGGTGGCTGTTTGATAGGCCGGTTAAGACAATGAAAACCCTCATCTGGGTAAATAAAAGGATGTCGCGGCCGCTTAACAGAGGTGGCCGGTTGTAACAGGTTTTATATTTATTTACGGTATTTTACTGACAACAAGGGACTTTGATATCTGGCCGCTTGATAGTGGGTTACCGCTTGTAGTAATAGGTGGCCGATTGCATGTTTATTCGACTGTACGCGTTACTACATCCACCATTATATAATATTGTAATTTCATATTCATAATTTAGTAAGATCTAAACCTGAAGATGGCTGGTCTGGCCAGCCGAAATATTGTTTTAAACATACTACGTTGTGTCAACCTTGCAGTAGGCCTTGAGTTAATTATCACCTTTTTAATTAATAAGGAATTCGTCATTTATGGCCTTTGCCCGTTTTAGCTTGACAGGACAAATCACACGTCAAGTTTGAATCCAGTTACAAAGCGTTGACGTATTCTTTTTCTTAAACTTTACTTAAGAACGAAGAAAAACAAATAACTAATTAAGACGGCCCGCCATCAAACCACATCATGGGACGGCTGCCAATATCATGAAAGTTAATAGACTCTTTCAGGGTGTATTTAAGTTCAGTCGGTTAAGGCTTCCTGTGCTTTACTAGGTGGGAAATGACCTGTTTCATGGGCTGTTCTGTGGGTCAGTTCATCTCAATAAGTTTTCCTGTTTGTCAGCCAACAAGAATAATTTGCACTTCAACATAAATTTCAACTGAGGTAGGTTTTACAATTTCAGTTCACAGAATCTTCTTTTGATGACTCGCTTTCCTATCGTAGTGGCCGAAGTTGCATGATATAGTGCCGTTATTGCAGAACTTTGTATCGTGCCCTGGATTGAGCCATCGTCATATTTTATGCCGATTAACCGAGTACAGGTAAAAAGAGGGTGCGAAAGGAGGCCATGTAGAACAGGAAAGGCGATAAACTGCTGAAACCAAAATCAGTTGTGTACCACTACACTCGGTTAGACCGAGTACAAATTTGTTATCTTAAGAAGACTAGGATAAAATAGTTTTTGAATGTTTCAGTGGTCTTGTGACTGCGTAAATTGTGTTTTGGGAACAACTTAAGTGATTAATTTGAGGTTAACCAAAACTCAAGAAAGAAAAAGACCACTTCAAGTGAGGGAATTTAGAAGACGAAAGCTCTTGCATATTTTGAACGGCCTGATCAAAAAACTTAACTTCGCGCTTGTTCAAAACTTTCTATATGCAGCAGCTACGCGACGTTTGAAACCTCACTCGATCTGAGCGGAGTATGGCTTGAAAAGTACTTAGCACTCGTCTGTCTTGTCGATGCTATCAGGCGGCTGCTGCTAAAACTGATCTGCAGCGCAATCAATGCGTTGTATTATAGTAGTGTAATAAAGAATTAATGACGCCCGCTTCAACACGCTTACTGTGATTTTTCCTATCCTTCAGGGTATTTGGTTTAGTGGTGATCCATCAACATACTGACAGAGTAAGTTTTGTTTCCTTTACAAGTTTACTTCGTTCACACGATTCAGATGTTCTATGTTAATACCGCTAACTTTGGTTTTTATCGCAGTCGGAAGGTAAAACGCAGTCACGCGCTGAACTATAGCTTTGTGATTTTTGTCATTCTTCAGGGCACTTGGTTCAGTGGTGGTACTCAGTGATCCATCAACATACTGACAGAGTAAGTTTTAGTTCCTTTACAAATTTACTTCGTTCACACGATTCAGATGGTTTATGTTAATGTCGTATACTTTGGTTTCCATCGCAGTCAGAAGGTAAAACGCTATCACCCGCACAAGACATGTTTTTAGACTGCGGGGAATATATATATTAGAAGTCTCTTTTAACGTTTCGCCAGGAAATTTTCCTTGGAATCACGTTTAACCTTTAGGAACGGAAAAGTATAATGTATAACTTATATTTAAAGACTATACTTTTACGTTTTAGTGGTACTGAAAGCATGTTTTACTTTTACCAAAAGTGTCGCCATTCGTTTGTGTACATTAAGGTACTGTGACAATTAAGAAACATATCTACTGATCTGTCCTCGAAATTCACAACTTCTTGTGTCTTGCTATGAGGGAAGTTTTCTGGTGTAAAAGCTTGTCTAATTTGTGACCTTGCTAGGGCAGGAACATGATTTTGGATTCATTTGGTGTGGTTAATTCTGCAATAGCCAGAGTGGGAATTAACTCTTTCAGAGGTTTTTGATTGCCTCAGTCAAGAATGTAAATTTCGCGTTGTGGCTGTCACCTTATGTCATTTTGTCTGCCATCTAGATAATTCGCATTAAACCATTAATTTCACGTTAGGTTTTACAATCAATTGATATTCATCATACAGAATCCTGATGTTTTCAGATTAGATCCACTAGTCACTTTGCTTTCATGGTGTTTTTCTGTCTTCGTGTAGCTAGAATCGCATGTTATTTGTTGTTTTATTAACTGTTTATCTTGTCATCGGCATATTTTATACCGCTTGATCAAACACGAGCGCTTCCGAACGGAAAGAGCTAAGTCAGAAAGCTTCAATTAATTATAAATAGGTGAACGCCATAAAGATCGTGTTCATGAAAAGTGATGACTTGGATATAAGCGTTTTCCAAAAGTATATTTGTGCTATCCAAATGCGTGTTGCTGTCCATCTATTGAGAACGCAAAATTCAGCTGAAACGTTTATATAAATAACAGTAAAACCGACAATTCCCCAGAAGAGAATGCTAATTTAATAAGCGATAAATTCGGTTGACCTAGCGACATTTCCATACAGTAGGCCCCGAGAATAGCGAAGCACGCGAGTGACGTTAAAACTCGAATAAACTCAGACAAACAAAACGGAATGGTGGAAGATTTGAAGATTTTTCAAGCGCGTAAGCCAGTGTTTCTAAAAAAACTTTTAAAACGAAAATTTGGCGTTCATTTTCCTCCTATTTCTCTCAGAAAACGCTAATGTTGTTTGACTCTCGCAGGGTTCCAATAATTTGTATTCTATTTTTAGACTTCGCGCGCTTCGTTATTGAAGTCCATTTTAACCTTGTCCACAGTGTTCCGTATAGCGCGGTTTTGTTTGACTTGTATTCCATGTGCATTCAGGAAGACCTTCGATTTAGACCTTCTTCCAACCCGGTGGACGATTCGTCTACTCGAGTAAGTTAACCTGGGAGTTCGAGGGGCATGCTCGGCCCAGGAAACGGTCTGATTTTAAGTCTTCTGAAATGACACATCATGTATTTCAAATAACAAACGTGGCATGCTTAAGAAAGAATGTTTTGTTTTTACCGTAGACAAGTGTAAACATTCATCTTTCCGGCTTTTGAATTAAATATCAAATCCGACTTTGTGCAATGATATTTATTTCCCCGTAACACCCCTGCTAACACCAACTATTTACCTTCAGCGTGATTATTTCTTCGAAATAATATAATATGTAATGTTGAT